AGAGGCCCCAGGGCCACCCTCCTTGTCATGGGGGCTGGTCTGTCCTCAGGGAGGCTGAGGGGCGACCCCACCCCACCAGCAACTTTAGCCCTGGGAAGCGGGGCTCCATCCTTCCCCAAGCATGGGAGGTGCAGGAGAGACATCTGGGTGTCACATCACATCCCAGGGACCTTCCTTTCCTGGAGGAGGTGGGGTCCCCTGGTCGGTAGCTTGGGGGGCGTCATGGTGGGAGGGTGAGGAGCCTGTTAACACCCTGTATCTCCCAATGCAGTTTATCTAAATCAGAAGGTAACCCTTTGCATTGGGACAAGGATTTTTTTAATTGAGTGGTGGAACTATTTGGTCATGGTTGTGTTTAAGGTGTGCACATAAGATTTTTGAAACAAAATTTAACAGAACAGCAATATAAATTCAACACTTATTTCTGATTAAATAAAACAAATATCCAGCCTTTTATTAAGTTAATTATCTAAGGAAACATCCTCAACTTGATAAAGAGTATCTCCCAAAACTTATAGCAACCTTCACATTTAAAGGTAAAACCATCTTAAAGGTCAGGGTTCCCACTCTTACTTTTATTATTCATCATATTCTACAGATTCGAGCCAATGAAGTGAGATGAGGTGGGGCAAAGAGTGTGTTAGGAAAAATGAGATAAAATTGTTCTTTGCAGATGATGGGCTAGTTTACTTCAACAAGCAAAAGAAAACCCAAGACAATCATCTGAAGGACTATTAGAACTAATACAAGAATTAACCAAAATGATTGAACACAAGAGCAATAGGGAACTATTGAGGAGATGAAATTTGGGAAACACTGACAACCTCAATAAAAATTCTATTAAAAGTCCTAGGAATAAACTTAACAGAAAATGTGCAAGATTTGCATGGATAAAATATAACACAACTTGACTAATGGACACAACAGCAAAGACATCAGTTCCCCTCAAATGAATCCATATACTTCATGAAATTACAAGCACAACATCAAAGGAATAATTTTTGAAAATTAGTGAACCGATTCTGAAGTCCAACAGTAAGAATAATGATGGAGAAGAGACACAAATATTCTGAATGAGAATAATAACGACGGGGTTGTTCTTTACCAGGTACAGAAACACATTGTAAAGCTACAATAATTAAAACAGGGTGGAAAGGATGTGGGAATTGATCATTAGATCAACAGAACCACAGAGAGGATGTGATAAATCCATAATTCAGTATTGGATAAAAGCTATGTTTGTATTCAACAAATATATGATGATTGGCTCTCCATTTGGAAAATATATAAGGTTATATTCCTACCTACCCAAAAATAAACTCCAGGTGAAGTAAAAACAAACACCGAAACAATGAAAATACCTGAATAAAATAGAAAAAAATAGAAATGAATATGCCTTCCCTATGTTTGCCACAGATCACAGACACTGTTAAGAAAAACCACAAATCTGACATATAAAAATTAAAAAGGTTTTATGGTGAAAGACCCCACAAACAAAAGGTGTAAAACAGATCAGGGAAAAATATTTACAATGTACATACTTAATAAGGGGTTACTATCCCAAATAGATGGAGAGTTTCTTATGGATCTTTAAGAAAATACAACCAAACGAACGAAAAATAAACCAGGCAAAATTATGACTGGTGAATTCACAGAAGAAATAAAATCAGTCAATAAAAATATGAAAGAAAAATAAGTTTCACCAACGGTCAAATAAACAAACACATTTGTTCTCATTTTTGCTCATCAGACATGCAAAATAAAAAAAGATCCACCGTGTCACATTATTGGCAACAATGGAGAGGGAAAGGCACTGTCATTCACTGTGGTGAGAGTAAGTTGGAACAGACTTTTGGGAGGACCACTGGCATCTCCTACGAAAATTTCGAAGCCTGTTCTCTCTGATCCAGCAATCCCACTTTTAGGCATCTATCCCGTGGAGATACACAGTGTACTTAGTATGGATACACAGCTACACACGTTGGGGGTCTCCATGTAGCATCTCTTGTAATTTACATTTTTAAGTGGAAACAACCTAAATGTTCATTAACAGGGGAATCATTAAAGACATGCTGCTTCATCCAAACTTTGAAGTCTTACAAAGCTGTGTGGAGAACATGGGGGATTCATATGGGCTGATACAGAAAATCTCAACAGACTGTTGAAAAAGCTAGTTGCAGGCTAATATACTTCTGTGCTTAATCTTTTTTTAAAACACATAGTACTCTGGTATTAAAAATTATTTTCGAAGATAAAAATGAAATATATCTTCTTGTGAACATTTTCATAACTACAGAAAATTATAAAGTAAAAAATTGAAACTAGATGAAATCCCACCTGCCAGGGACACACCATTGACATTTTTCTACATTTTCTGACAGGCTTTTGAAAATGCACACATACTTTAAAAACCCAATTTCAGAAATACAATTTTGGAGGTTTGTGTAAGATTCCTCATGATGGATATTCCGTGCTGTATTTTGTCGCAACCTTCTGCTGGATATCTAGGTTATTTCCAGTTTTCTCCCATCATTAATAATGTTGAGTTTCTTGCTTGTAAACCTTTGGTTACATCTTTGGTTGTTCCCCCCACCCTCTGCTCAGGATGAATTCCTAGAAGTGGAGTTACACAATTTAAAGAAATACGCTTTCTTTTATGACTCACTGCGTATTGCTAAAAAGGGTGTACGTTTTAGTCTTTTATAGACAGTTCGTGACTGTGCCCATTCCTCCCCATCATGATAATGTCACTTTAAATTCACTTGCCAATTCCATAGGAGATATTGGTACCTGGTTACCATGGACCAGCACCCCCTCCCCATCCCCTTTCCACTGCCCCTTCTCCATCCTCTAATCTGGCCTCACACTGGTCTCCGATCTGGAGCCATTTTTTCAAAACACTAACCTGACTCTGACAGCTCCCCACTTAAATCCTTCAGTGACTCCTCCTGGACCCCAGGATAAAGGATGAGGTGTACAAGACCCCAGCAGTCTGCACCCCGCTCTACCCGGCTCTGGAGGCTCCCTGCGGGCCTGTGCCACCTCACTCTCCTCCTCGGACCCCCCCACCATTCCCTCTGCCTGGAGTGCCCTGTCACGTGTCAACACCCTGGATCTGTAAGACCAGCTCGGGCATACCCCCTCCCATCTTACTGCTCCTAAAATGACCCATGGGTCTGCCCAATGCCTGGATATGACCCCGCTTGGTTCAGGCTTGACCCCAGTTAAACACTCAGGAATTTAGTTGAGGAGTTGGCCTCCTTGGGGGACACCAAGCCAAACACTTGCTTCCTTCTCTGGACGCCTTGTAAACTGTCCCTTCTCTTGCACCATTTTCTTAAAACACAGGACATGCTGGTGCCTGTTCAGTCCCGGGATTTCCACAGTCCTGGGACCGTGCCCATGTGTTGTGTGAACTTGGGCAGGTTGCCTCACTTTTCTGGACCTCTATCCCTGTCTGTAAGATGGGGATGATGGCAGGACCTGCCTTGTGGGGCTGCTGCCCCTAAAGTGATTAGTGTCTTCTGGGTACGTCCTGCCCCTGCTGCCCTGTTTCTCCCTGCTCAGAGGTCCAGGGCAAGGCAAGTGAGGCACCAGTCTTGGGCACAAAACTTAAGGGGCACCAAAAAAATCCAGTCATTGAGATAAATAATACTTTAATATAGTATTAAGGAAGAAAAATCAATACAAACAAATTCACACTAGACAAAATGTCAACACTTTAAATAAAGCCACTGTCTGCTCAGGCCCCTTCTTTACGGATGATTCTCCCTTCTTGCCCCTCTCTTCTATAGTCATTCACCCCTGCACCCCGTCAAAGGGACCTCCAGTCCCCCTGTACCACAACTCCCTCGGCCTCTTACCTGTCCCACAGGCTCCAGAAGCTGGAGACTTCCCGGGGCTTCCATGTGGGGGGCCATGCTGCCATCGGGGGCAGCAGGCCATGGGTGTCCATGGCCAGGCCCAGTACTATTAGAGGCCAGGGCTGCCTGGGGACAGAGCTCTGACCCCTGGGGTGTTCATGGGCCCACCTGGCCTGACCTGGGCCTCATGTGCCCTCAGGGTCAAAGGCGCCTTGGCCAACCTGCTGGTGTGGGCTCCCTGGAGGGGGATCGGCAGGTGCCCCCAGTTCCCCTTGTTGGCAGTGGCCGTCCCAGGGCATCCTGGCCCTCGTGGCCCTGTCCTCTGCATGGGCCTTTTCTGTCCCTGCCCCCAGCACCTGGCCCCCTTCAGGATCCATGGCTGTTACTCCTGGGGCCTCTCCCAGGGGGGCCTTTGCTAACTGCTCTGCTGTGGTCAGGATCCAGGGCTCAAGGGCTTCACAGCAAAGCCCGCCCGCCAGCCCCGCCCCCGGGTCCCTGGGTCGGGCACACCTGCCCTATTCTCCTTCCCTGTTCTGCAACTGCGTCCCTGGGCTGTGGAGCATCTCCCTGGGGCCTGGAGGGGCCGGGGAGGGCAGCCGAGTTCCCGTGGAATAAGTCAGTGAGGCCTGAGTGCAGTGGGCTGGGGCTTCTCTTCTGACCAGTCCTCTGGCTTGGTCCCTGCAGCCTTCACTCCGGCCAGTCAAGATCGCCCTTCCTTGGTTGATTTGGCCAAGCCTGGCTAGTGTCCCTGGTCAACTCCTCACTCAGCTTCTCAGCCAGGCAAGGGCCCTGCGGGAGTGATTCTATACCCGTCGTTCAAGGAGAAACGTCAAGTCATGAATGTTGACACCAACCAGACCGAGGTTCCCTCTGGGCCTCAGTTTCCTTATCTGTAAAATAGGGGCAGTTCCTTTGCCGTAGGAAGGCCTTGAGGATCAGTGTGATCACGTGTTTGCTTAGGCTGGGGTCCGTTTTGAAGCCCAGGGAGATAACACACGATCCAGTGATGAGAGGGATGCTGTCTATCCAGTGCTGACAACCGGGCCGGCTCCCTGCTGAGCTGAGATTTTTTTTTTTCTCCCCTGTTTGAAGATGAAGAAATTGATGTTCAAGCAGCTTCCGTACTTTCCTGATGCCACACCGTCAAGAGGCCTGGCCCTCACGCAGCTCCAGGGCATACCCCTCCCTCTAGGTCCTGGTGCTGTCAGGCTGCCGGGTATAGGAAGAACTCCAAGTGGCAGGTTGCAAGTTCCCACTTGTCACAGCCAGCACCTACCCTCTGGCTTTCCAGTTGCTCTCTGGCCACAGGAGCTCTAATACCTATGTCAACTTAAGTCCAGCTCTGCAGCCCTCCCAATCTTCTGGTTCAGCAAATCTGAAAGAGGCCTCCCAGGGATGGACCCCAAAGTGACTTTCCTGGGAGGGCCCTTTCAGAGGTGTCTGGCCCGTGATTTTTTTTTTTGCGGTACGCAGGCCCCCCACTGCTGCAGCCTCTGCCGTTGCAGAGCACAGGCTCCGGACGCGCAGGCTCAGCGGCCATGGCTCACGGGCCCATCCGCTCCGCAGCATGTGGGATCTTCCCGGACCGGGGCACGAACCCATGTCCCCTGCATCGGCAGGCGGACTCTTAACCACTGCGCCACCAGGGAAGCCCCGGCCCATGTTTTGAGGCCGATGCTCCTTAACTTTCCTGCTACATTTGGTGAAAATCAGTCCAGCCTGTTCCATGGGATGCGTTAACAGGCACACAGCTTGGGACTTCATTTTCTTCATATAGATGAGGGTCCCTGGGAGACAATGTCCACGGATCTCTGTATTTCTGCACGTCTCACGAGCAAAGGAACGGATTGCCTTTGTTTTGGATCATCTTTTCAAGTATGTTTGTGTAATGAATGACCCTGGAGGGTAGAGATAGCGTCTCCCTCTGGAGCAAAACATGCTTACTGTCCGGCAGAAAAGATTTGGGGTCCCCAGCTTGGATGTGCAGGTGTCTCCTGGCCCCTTTGCATCACCCTGTGGGGCTCAGAGAACCAACGCAGGATGATGCTGGTATGCCGGCTGCCTCTCTTGCTGGGAGTAACATGCTGGCCTTTGTCTCCAACCCAGCATCTTGTGTCCGCCAGCATCTGTGCACTGCGGCAGGCTCACTTTTTAGCTTGCGGGCAGGAACAAATCCCAGACCCTCCACAGCTCTTGATAATGACGGTTGTGATGGGGGAAGGAGGGAAGGAGGGTGATGATGGTGATCAAAACCTCACAGTTTGACCAAACTCATAAGGCAGCTTTGGAGGAACCCCAGGCTGCCGGGCCGGGTGCTGAGGGCTGGACTATACAGCACACACAGACAGATCCCTGGCCTTGGACATGGGCCAGGCATTGAACAGTAACGGGGTGTGGGTGCCCTACCAGCCATCATGCAGGATATGGGGGAGCCCCTGGGAGGCCCTGATTCAGTCCAGCTTCTCCCCATTGTGGTGCTTGGCCCACTCCAGCCTGGGACCTGGGCCCCTTGTACCTTGGGGGCTGCGTTGCCCCTGCCCCAGGGTCCAGGCTGAATCTGCTCCCTCCCCGCACCCCTGTGTGGGTGTGATGCTCACCCACTGCCCGGGGCCCAGAAGCTGTGGTCCCCCCCACCCACTGGGGACAGCCCCAGATTTCGGGGAGAAAAAGGGCCTGTCCCTGAACTCGGTGATTCCAGTTGTGCCCCAGCCTCCACCCTGTACCTGCCACGGTCTCTGGGCAGCCGCCACCGCAGACCACATCCTCCTGTGGTGGCTGCAATCGGAAATCCTGGTCTGGCTGGACGCTGGGGACCCTCGGGGGATGGGCAGGGCCTTCCCAGCTGGTGCAGCTGCAGCTCTGGCCGCCCAGACTTGTCCCCACCCCCTCCCTGGACCGAGAATGGCCGAGGGCTGGATTCAGGCTGAGCCAGAGAGGTCTGGGTCCAGCTGTCCTGCTCAGCAGATCCCCTGCTCAGGGTCCCTGGCTCCTCTGTGCCCCGCCCCCACCCATCTCCCCTGGAGTGGAGGGGTGTGTCATGTCCAGTCACTTCTGCCCTGCTCCCGTGTCAGGGGCGCCCCCTGCCTCCTGCTGGTCAGCCCCCTGCCCATTCTACATCCCACAGGCCCCAGACACCTGCCTATAGTCAGAGTGGAGTCTTCTCTCCCAGGCCTAGGTCTCCCCAGCTCCCCACTCCCCACCATCCCCAAAACTCAAGCGGCTGGTCCTTCTCTTAACATCTTCAGTGTTTTACTCTTGGGGCCTGGAGGGTCTGAGGCAGAGGGGGACAAAGTGTCCGTCTGGAGATATGACAAAGCTTCTGGAATCAGGATCTGGCTCTGTGGTTCCTGAGCCCCCTCTGAAGGGTGCCCGGGGAACCCTGAAGATCCCAGCTCCTCTGGCGATCCTGGGGGTGCAGCCCCCCACTTGCACTGTCCTCCAGCAAATGGGGAGAGAATCCTGCTGCTTCTGGAGACGTCACAGACTCACTGACCTGGTAGCTTCTACGGATGAAGAAACTGAAGCACAGAGAGGGAGAGTTTCTTTCCTAAGACACGCAGCTACTTGGTGTAAAGACTGTGTCCTGGGACTTACCAGTACCAGCCGGAGACCCGGGAGGACCAGCCTTTTTGGACATGGTGGTGGGACCCAGCCTGGAACTGGGGGCTTTGGAAAATTTCCATGCTTTAACCTCTAACTCTCCCAGTCCAGCCACCGGGGATGCAGCCCGAGGGGGAGGGCCCGGTACAGGGCAGCAGAAACCAGCTGTCAAGGGAGGCAATGCCCAGAAAATGTGGCTCGTGGGAGGCGTGAGACCTGAGGGTGGGGGCGGGGGGTTCCCGTGAGGGGGAGGAAGGGGTGCAGGGGCTGGACTCTGTTCTTCATCTTCCTGGAGTCCCGGCTTGTCCTGGGGTGGGGGTGCTTAAGGTGAGTCACACCAGTGCATGGTCAGATCCTCACTTTACTTACTGTTCTAGTGCTTTACTCATATGGATTTTGGGGGGCTTTAATTTCAATTTTTAAAAATATTGCATTAAATATTATTTATCTTTTTTTTTTTTTTTTAATTTGGCCGTGCCATGGGGCTTATGGGATCTTAGTTCCCCAGCCAGGGATTGAACCCGTGACCTCGTCAGTGAAAGCATGGAGTCTTAACCACTGGACCTCTAGGGAATTCCCAAAATATTATTTTTCTTGATTACTGAGTTTTGGGGCACTTCCTTAAATTCCTCAGACAAGGAGGGTGTCTTACTCATCTCACTCTAGTCTTGGCTGTGTCTGGAACTTGGGAGAAACCAGTTACCTCCAGCTCAAGGAACTGCTTTTTGCAGGGTCTGCCCAGCCCTTCCCTGTGCTGGAGTGGGCATGGCCAGTGCCCAGCAGGTCCTGCCCCACCTGACCAGGTGGGTTTATATTTGTAGGGCTGAACCTGTTTTCCAGGTCCTTTCCAAAGGCTTGGACTGACACCTGGGAGGGGTACACTCCCACGGCGAGGAGACCCCACTTTGGCAGGGGGTGGCTTTGTAGCAGCCATTGGTCCTTTAACTGTTCCACCAGCAACTATCAGCCGGGTGAATCCTCTTGGGACCCTGGGAGGGTGGTCCAGACTTACACATTCTCACATCCTTGTTCCATTCATAGGAAATGCTTCCGTCCTGATGGCTAACAAGACTAATGTGATTTATATTCGATTCTTACTTCATTCTTACTAAAAGCCAAACCACTAAATACTCTGACATTTATTTCTCACATGGTGTCGCATAGTATCTGTTGCTAATTAAATAACGACAAATAGCCTTGTGACTTACCTTGTTTTTAAAAAGTTATAAATGTAGATAAGTGAACGCAGAAGATCTACATCATTTTAATGTTGATCTCACCAGACACATCTTTTAATTTTCAGTGATTTATGATGTTCCTCAAAATGCACATTAACATGTTTACTTGTATTGACAAATACAGTGGGAAGGCTTCCAACAGGACATCGTCCGAATAGTACATTTGGCAGTGAGGACTGGCTGTGCAAATTAGATCACTCGGTCAGACTCTTCCATAGATTGAACGATTCAAGTCAGCCTCAGGTTTTGGAGGAAGCATATACTCAAAACACATGATAAGATGCAAGTATTTTTCTCAAAAGATATCATATTGGCAAAGCTGCACTAAGATGATATTTAAATTTTCCCCAAACTTTATATCTTCTTACACAAGGGGCCTCTTAAGTAAAGGAGTAATACATTGAACTAGTAAGTTCCGCTCAAGCCTTCTCGGTGTTTATCCCCGAGAAAATGAATGACAAGTGGCTGGGTGACACCTCTCTGAGGGTGGTTCCCCGAAAGGCTGACTCTGGGATGGAGCCAGCTTGCAGGCTCTCCCAGTATATGAGGCAATGAGCCCTCATCCCTGAGGGGTCTGGAGGTGCATCGAACTGCCTCTCACACGAGTCCTCTTGAAGTCGGGTGGTGTCCGTCCAATCCTTTGCTTTCCACAAAATTACAAGAGTATGAAACGGAGCTGTCAGCTGATAAATCATTTAGAGAAACTATTTTTGACCATCAACCACGAACGATTTTTGGCATATAACTAGGAAGGAGTTCATATCAGGCAGTGACACTGTATTACAAGACTCCTATTGATGGACCAAAGTTTCTCCATGTTTCATATAGAAACGCAAGCCAGGACAGCTTTGATGCTGGACTTACTTCATTCTAGAGGTAAATTATATTAATTGACGGATCCACGAATCAACACTAGTTAATAGTCATTTATGAAAATGTCAATGCATTTATGCTGTTTTGATCAAACTCTGCTGCTAATAATTAGGATATAACAATGTGGGAGGAAACTTTTAGCACTTAAAATCACGGGAAATGAAAGAAATTCAAAAATTTTAAATGAATGTACATTATTATGACAGAGATGTATGATAGGATAATGAATGAGATTTTCAGGTATGAAAATGTATGAGCAGACCAAATGTAGTAAGGGATGTGGAATGGAAACAAGTCTAAGCAGAAGGAAAGATGGATGTTATAGAAGAATTTTAAGGACAGTGGATATCAAATCATGATGATTTTTAGACTCTGATGAATATATGTAAAGGAGTGATGTGAACATTTTACAATCTTCTGATGACAATTTTCAGATGTCAAATTACAAAGGAACAGGCATCGTGGGGAAGCCCAGTTCTTAGAGGGTTGTGGGCAATGGTGTTGAGGGCCCGCCTCAGGGTGTTGCGGGGAGGCCCTGGGTCTCAGTGCAGGACGATCAGGCACAAGTGACGAGAATGAGCTCCGTGAGTCAGGGGCCACCAGCAGCCACCAGGGGCCGGAAGCTTTCCTTCCTGTATCTGGAATCTTCCCCCCCTCCTGAGAGAAGCCAGTGGAGAAGCTGAGCCTGGAGAGGGGACACGGCTGTCCTAGGACACAGCTGGCAAGGGGAACCCTTTGGCTCAAGGGTGCTGACGACAGTCTCCATGACTCAGGACCGAATCCCCACTCGCCATTTCTCAGCAGCATAAACAGAGGTCCTGAGAGCACAGAGGACACCGGAGCCTCAGGCCTGTCCTCCAGCTGCTCCGAGGCGGGTGGAGTGAGCGCCGAGCCAGGCAGGGAGGTTAGTGTCTCACTTCTCCATCTGCCTGTGTCACCATGAGGATTATAACTGCTGTCATATGACTGATAGTAATAGTCAGTGTCGTCCTCAGCCCGGACTCCGCTAATGGTTAGGGTGGCCATGTTCCC